GTAAACCGGAACTAGTGTAGCAACGAAAATGTAGAATGCCCCCCCCCCGTCGCCGAACTGCGCCAAACTTATGTTTCCCCCTGCGAATTGTAGTGGCGAAATATGTCCTGAAGCAAACAATAAATCAGTGAAGAGTTTCATACCTCAAGCGGCATAACTGCTGCCAGTACCTCTTCGATCCTCCTTTTTTCCAGAACGAAGTCTATCCGAGCATTGTTCAACACTTCAGCTCCTTCTTCTATGCCAGGAACAAAACGAAGCACTTCGCGAGTTCCCTGAATACTCAGAACTGTGGAATGAACTGAAGCAATCAACGTCCCGCTAGGAAATATTGAAGGGAACGAAATCGATGTTTGCATGGATGTTCATAAAGGTACCTCCATGATTTTCCAGCCAGCGTATGGACCATCAACGATCTGGCCTGTCATACTCACTGAACCCATGAACAGTGATGTGAAAAACATCGACTCACGAGGATCGGGCAGTTCCGACTGGAACGAGCATATTCAGCAAAGTGAGTGACCATGCTGCCTCAAGAACTGGGTATATTCATAGATACTAGTGTAACTAGTTACCGGAGGGCGTTAGTGGAACGCGCCTATTCTCTGCTCGACTAAGTTCTTTCAGTGCGTGTTCATTTTTCATCTATTTCGCGGCCGAAGCTGTAACTTGTGATTCAACACCCCTCTCCCTGCCATGTACGTCCAATCCTCCAAATCAGCCTCCAGACGCGACAGTTTGACACACATTGACGCATAACGACACGCTGTAACCGTGTGCTGCCGTTGCAGCTGCGCTCCATTGTATTGGGTTGGCACATAAGTACTTTCGTTTTTTTAAACCGGAAATTTTGTTCCAAAGATGAAATGTTTTGCTAGCAAGCTTGACATGGCATCTGATTAGGCAAACTTGTCTGTGTGTCTGAGATGTCTGAAGTGGCTGATGCTTATCGACTGACATTGACCATATTTACCTGAAAAAAGGTTCACGAAACGGATTTTCAAAATAAGCTGGCAATGGGAAGTGTTATCAGCGAAATTGGCTATCAGAAAATATAGAACACATTAGCGAAACATTCAAATGTTAGCATAAAATTCGTGGAGAACGGGAACGCTAGTTCTCAACGACTTCGCGTTCCGTAATGATAACCTGAACTTAACAGAAAGCAATACACCTCTGGAGAACAGATTTCTCTAGGCTGTATAGCGCACGAATTTGCTATCAGAACATGCAAAACATATCAGCGAAACATTCAATATTAGCATAAAATTTCAGGTGGAACAGACGTGAGCTGCCCAATATCGGCGAGGTGAAGGTTGGTGACTTCAATCTCGTTCCAAAGGTCCTAGTGAGATTTCCTTGCTGGAACTTCTAGCTCGACCTTTTCCAAATGTATGGAGCAGCTTAAGCGATTTTAGCACTTCGACTATACGTAAATAGAGGCAGTTGTCGAAGGTGCTAATTTTCGCCGACTTCGCTTTCAACTTCAACGACTAAAAAATCCACAAAAATTATTCCCTCAACCGAAGCCGTTTTGATATTCTAAAACTACGTGAAGTTTCCTATCAGATGATATCAAGCTTGCTAGCAAAACATTTCATCTTTGGAACGAAATTTCCGGTTGAAAAAAAACGAAAGTACTTATGTGCCAACCCAATATGTTTTAGATTTATTTTTAAATCAAAGCATTTTCAAACCATAACGGACACATTTGAAGTAATATCCTTACACTGTCAGTTGATACTGGAACCGCATTAGGGGCTGCTTATGCCGCGCCAACGATGCCGGGATAGGCCCTTGTACGGGGATGGGTCTTGGCAAAATCATGTTTAGAGAGGTCTTCTGCTTTCTGACCTTTTGCCCTTTTGGTACTGCGCAGACACCCCCTAACTGAAAAGGACCGGTACAGTTCATAGATACGACCCTGCCCACTTTTTAGTGGTATTATCTAGTGATAGTGGCACGCTTTGAAATTTATAGTTTTTTTCGATGGCATTCTTTTCAAATTCATTGCATCATAAAACGAACGACCATAGATATGCATCTACACGCTACGCCCGCCTCTTTGAGCACGTTCACTTCTGGGTCTTTTGGCGGAATTTCGACTGTTTCTTCGGAATCTTCGCCTTTTCAGGCTGCAACTGTGGCTCTGCCCACTATAAGAAGCCCCGCCCACTTCACAGAAGCTTCGCCCACATTAGAAAAATGGTCCACATTGGCAGGGCTAGAGTCCGGATTTATGATCTCCCTCGTCACCTGAAACGGAAAAACAAGGAAAGTTTGTTCGTGGCGGGCCACAAACGAACTTTCTTTGATTTTTCGTTTCGGGTGACGAGTGGGGCCATACACTGCCAGTTAAGACTCCGGCCTGCCGATCTGGACTACTTTTCAAAAGTGGGCGGAGTTTCCGTGAGGTGGGCGGTGCTCCATACAGTGGGCGGAGCCACCGATTGCGGCCTGCACCCAGCGCTACTGCCTTGAGAGCGTGGGAGAATAGGACAGTGCGCGTTCGTAATCACACAGTCTGATATGAATCGGCGCCGCCCCCTAGTGTCTTGAGAGATTATGAAAAATCAGAACGAACGAAGACTGATTTGGTGGAAAGGTGCAAAGGAACAGAAACAGACGCCAATCTCTCGACCTCGACTCCCACCGTCCACCGAGTCCTCCTCAGTTACACTAGGATCCATTCATGAACTTTGCTTACCTCAAGCGAGCTATCCCAGTACGGTAAGCCGAGCCGGCTGCCCTGAGGGAGGAATCTTCGAAACGCTATTTCGAATCTGAAAACGAAAGGTCTCTAGGAATCGTTGCGTGGTAGGTACAGCAGTTTTCACTGCAGACGTTAGGGCATGTCAGAGAGACTGAGACTTGGCGCGGCACCAGGCGGTTCTTTGAAGCGGGCAAAAGGCAACAATCAGCGGCAACGGGCTGGCACTGATCCAACCCAGCCCTCTGACACGCCCAGCCCAGCGTATGCATTAAAAACAATTATAATTGGAAGGCCGAACCTTTTCAGATACTCTCGATGCCACGTGAAAAAACCAGGTCCTTCGTGCAGTCCGCTGTATTTGTGCACTAAACCATAGCGGTCATACAATCCAGCCGCTTTCATCTTGTTCAGCGCGATCTTCAAGAGTAAAATGTGGTAAAAACTTTGTACGTAAAGAATCTTCAACGATTTCCACCGACCGCTATCTGCAAGCGCTCTCTGTCGGTGAGCAGGCGCGCCTCCTTCCGGACCGCCTTCTGTAACAGCTTCCCGTTTGGCAGCACACATTTTGAGCCAGAAACTTTACCTGGAACAACAGGCCGAACTTCTGACATACCTCATGGATCTACCTTTTTATTCTGGATATTAACACGTGACAACAATTATCATCACACAGATTGCAGTTGTTATATGGCGAATCAGGG